ATTTGGACTCTTGATCTGTCAGTCCGTGATGTTGATAGTTGTTTGAGCTAGAATAATCAAGTAGTCAGTACTCCGTAGTCATAGATGAAATCAGCCGAATTTATCTTAGTCGGTTATCATTTCTATTCACCTAATAATAAGATATTTTTAATACCAAATTTATTTTCAGTGATATGCATGGTAAAATATATCTCTAATCTCCATTCAAATTCGTTATTCTTTCTTATAATAAATATCAAGATGCGCGAGTTGAATCGCAAGGCAGGCGGTTGAAGGGAAGATTCTTGCACTTTTCATGACGGAAGGATTTCCCATCTAAATAGAATCGTCTATTGTAATTCGCAGCCACTGATTCTACCTATCTTTTCACGCCGAAGGAATCCACCCGGCAGAATGATTTCTAGTTGAAGCGCTCCAGAATTCCCCGGGGAAGGAGTGAGAGGAGTGATTCCATATTAATGCTGGAACACCGCAGGTCTAACCTCCCCAGCCCGCATCCGCACAACATCAGCTCGAAAACGCTGACTAGAGAATGTCAAAATTCTCTCTGGGAGGAGCAAGACTGCCACTTGGCTGAAGCTAACTCTGGACCTCAACTTCATCCCCGTACGATGTTGCCAGGAGACACGAAGCCAGGGCGATAGCAGATCATAGAATACGTTGATGAATGGGGAGCTGGAGGAGCAGTCGCTGTCTCCAAAAGAGAGGGGCGTTTCAACGACACACCCATCTTTGGAGCCTGCACTCTCAATCAGGAGCTATTTGCCAGGGAGCGTGGTGTGATCAGCGCGCGAGGAGATCTAGTTGCTCTGTTTCCGGAATGCTGTGATTTTTAGTTTTAGCATTTGCGACACGCAGTCTAGATATGAGTGGAAAGACTCAGCACACCACTACATGGGAGAGGCGCAACTGGGAACCCTAAGCAGAAGGCAATGCGAAAGTAGGCAATTGGACTGGATACGCAGAGATTAAGACAGGGCAGGAAACCAGGTTACCTGGTATCTGACATGAAAACACGGCGAGGGAGGAAGGAGAGGGCGCATGCAGTAATTCCAGCAAAGCCTCGGGAGACTGCCACAGGAGGGACGAGGTCTGTACATAAAAAAGCCCCGAAGCGGAAGACGCAAGACGCTAGACCGTGTCAGGCAGGTCCGGGTCTGGCCGCATCCACGACGAGGATTTGAAGCATAGCAACATCCATGCATTGGGGCGGGCGGAGATGTTCTGCTGGATGTATGCTTCTGTGACTGACCTAGGAGGAGGCCGCTTGGGTCGTCCGTATGCATAAAGAACAAGAAGTCAGAGAGGAAAATGATTTCCCACTCGCGGATTCCGTGGCTACGAGCGAGGGAGCCGGGAGCCTGCATCCATGGATAGAATGGTTATGGCCAATACCTGCTTGCAACCAGCTATTCGCGCTAGTCACCGGCTCGAATTGTATCGTCAACTCTAACCTCGAAGTTTAGCTTGACGGCAACTTAACTAACCTCTTCACCACCAACGTCCACCAACGTCCACCAACATCCACCGCCAACTGCTCTCTCCACGGCTCCGTTGCAACGAAAGCTCCCCAGCAAAACCCCCTGTTCCAAACAGCTCACCATTATCGTCCACCGGGAACCCGCGAAGTATTTAACAACGTACCCTTTCTTTGTACCCGCATTCGCCCCCGGCGTATCATCCATCCCCCCCCTCCGCTGTTACCACAGTCCAACACCACCATCACAGCCGTCTTGACCAGCGGCAAATAACCCTTGTGTATCCACCGCTACAACGTTC